ACTTTTTAACTTTTACATAATATATCACGCTCTTCAATTCTTTGCAAAACGATACATCTACTGCCCTAACTTGTCTAATGTGGCACTCAAAATGTCAACGCATTGTTGATGTGTATTTAACAGACGATTTTTTTTGCATAATTAATCACAACCTTATTATCTCAAAAATATCCCAACATTTTTAACTCAACTTTAACTCAATCCCACAATCATCAATATCATCAATATATAAATAATATCAAATCAATCATTCTTACACACCATACCACCTTAATTCACTATTTATCCACTCACATAATTTTAACTAATTATCACTTCAAATTTTCACTTTCCTACTTTATATCAAATCAACTTTAATCATTTAATTTTAAATATTATTTTAATATACTCACTAACAACTAACCATACCAACTTTTTCAAAACTAACCAAACCAAACAAAAAAAATCCAAACAAAAAAAAAAATTATATATCCAATCATGCTCTTAACTTTTGCATAATATATCACGTCCTTCAATTCTTTGCAAAACGATACATGGTTTAACATATAGTTTTTTTTTATCTCATCCCTGGGCGAGATGAGGGGGAGATTTTGGAACCCTTGGGGATATATTAGGCTAGGGCCGGAGAGAAAACAGATTATTGAGACTTTTATCTTTTTTCTTTTCATCTCAAAACTCATTCTCTCAACAACTTTTACTTGGTTTTCTTTGGATTTTGCTTGGATTCGAGTTTTGGAGATTGTGCACTCCATAACAAACACGGTTTGGTTTGTAATTCAATTTTATTCTCGACTTGGATTAATAGTAATTTCTTTTCATTTGATTATGGAAGTGATTTATTATGTTGAATCTTTTGTTGGGATTGATATCAGTATGTGTGGCTAGGGGATATTTGTTTTGGTTCGATTGAGATTCATATGTACGTTTTTGTCGTTCAATCTATTCGAGTTGTGCCTAATCTAGGGTTAGATGTTTGATCATCATTTTAATCTAGTTAATCAATTTGTAGAACCGGAAGGGGAGAAATTGATTGTTCTCGGATCGTTTAGAATAGACTTGTCTGTTAATGTATTGTCTATATGTTAATTGTTTGATAATTGATCGTTATGAAGAGTTATTATGAACAAGCCTCTAAACGAGTATGTTATTTGATCTCTTAACCGAGCAGTTGCGTGCTAATTGATTGGTTGAGAACCATAAACGAATATCTCCGACTCCCTAACTCACCAATCATTATTTGAACTTCATTTGGAATTTGAAGTGTGTCTTGCTTTATTTTTAGAATCTGTAGTTGATAATCAAAACAAAAAACAATTGAATTAGATGTTTTGGATTTGTTCTCTTTTTGTGTGATTGAATACACATGCGAAGTAATTCGGCTAACCTTCCTTGAGAGACGAACCGGCGTTTGAATCTTTTCGTGTTCCAAAATCTCCAGCTCTAGCCTAATATATCCCCAAGGTTCCAAAATCTCCCCCTCATCTCGTCCAGG